AATGTTTATATTTCATGATTTTAAAGTTTGTTGTTAATATATCAAATTAGTTCTGTAATTATTATTATTTAATAAACCAATGTTGCAACACACAAAAAATTTAGAGACTATATTATTTTTAAATAGGATCTAATATAAATAATTTTGACATCTAATTTGTTGTTTATATTTTGCTACTACTTAAAAAAAATGTTTATATTAAATGATTTTAAATTTTGTTGTTAATAGGTATAACAAATTATTACTGTTATTATTATTTATTAAACCAGTCTTTGCTTAAAAACATTAAAAATAATTTTCCTACATCCAAAATAACAAGTATTATTGCAGCGTAACAACAGAATATTAATAAAAAAAATGCAAAATATATAGACATACTCTCCCTAACTAACTAAAGCCAAACAATAATATTCTTTGCTAACATCCTATATATGGCAACAGCGCCCTTCACACACACACACACACACATAATGTATTTTCTGTGTAAATACTAGCACCCCAATAAAAAAAATAATGTGTCCTTATCTTTATCTGACTCCGTAAAAAATCAAAGATGCCGGCTACTTTCATAGCATTGCCACCGACCGCTGTCGGGTTTCTCGGAAAGAAACCTACGTCGCCGGGCGACAACTAAAATCCAGTTAATATTTTATTATAATCGATCCTGACGAATAAATGAATTTTATAAATGAATGAATTTTATAAATGAATGGTTTTTGCTGCCGAATTACTAGACTACAATATTTCAAGGCCGATGACGCATCTATTCGATAATTTTTATTCGAATAGTTTTCAACGAATGTTTTCTTACTAGCTATCGAATTATTCGAATGAATTGCAACTATCGAATGTTTCGATACTATTCATTCGATAGTTCCCAGTACTACTGGTGATCACGAGAGAAGATTACAATTTTGTCAATGGTTTCGGTAAAGTGTTCAAGAAAGCCCCCTTTTTTCTAGAAAAATATTATGGACGGATTATTGACAAATTCTGATAAAATTACAGACAGATATTCTTTGAACGTGTTCTTGACAATAAAATGTAATTATTGAATTTTTTTTAAAAAACTAATTTTTTCAGTGAATTTACATAAAAATGAATAAAAATTAGACACCACCGTATAGATTATTTTTTGCTCTATTTAATAGTATAAAAATTCAAAATGGCGGCCATAAGAAAACAAAAACTTGACTGTTGTGCGAAATCTAGAAAGCTTAGAAATTTTCTGAAAACGGCATGTAATTGGCCGAGGTTAAAAATATAAAACTACCAACTTACGTTGCAATACATACAATAGTTCTGGAGATATTGTCATTTAAAATAAACGTATTATTTTCCTTTTTTGGCATAAATCTGAAACTAATCAAGATACCGGGGTTTTCTACATAGGTGTTTGTCAGACTTCTAATTACGCAACTTTTGTCCCATTTAACCGAATTCGTATCTCTCGTAGTTTCTGAGATGCCAATGTTGAGCATCGAAATTGTCACCACCCTGTATAGTTTAATACAGGTACGGTTCAAAACCATGTAGATGTTGCTCCCTACATGGAAGGAGTCCTATTGCGACATCAAAATCAAATTTACCATGTCAAAAAACACCCAAACACCAATTTTCATCCAAATATCGGCCTTAGTTCTGAAGTTATTTTGAAAAAATCGAAATAAAAATGGAATTTCTACACCCTGTAAAAACAAAGCCATTTTAGGACATAAATTTCTACGAACTTTTTCGCTTATTTTTATTTGCAAAATATGCTGCCGAAGTTTATTTGCAAAACATGCTGCCGATTACAATTCGAAACACCCTGTATAATATCATACTTACAACGCTTTCAGATAGAGCGGACCGTCCGCGACTTCGAGCAAGTACCATGAGTTTATATGAACAATTTCACATGCTCCGTCCGGATGATTTCGTCCGACGGCTATCTTGAAAAAACACGACGTACGCACGGTGGGGTATTAGCATGAAAAAGATGATCGAAATTCGAAAAAGCAAATGTGTTTAATTTTTCCCAAAAAAGATAAATGATAAGTTAAATTATGTCTGCCATGAATGGCGTTGCTATGGGTATGTTTAGTTGCATTCATTCGTTTCAACGAAACGTCAAAGTTGTTACTTCTCACAGATAAAAGGTAAATGGCTAAATTTTATGTTTAAAATTATAAATTGTGTTCTTGTGCTCTTTTTACGTTTATATTATCGTTTTGATTGAAAATGGCTCAGCAAGCTGCAAGTATGTATTCTACAAAAACGTATTATTTATTTTGATATTCTCTATACTAACGATTTTTTTTGCAACTAAAAGTTAGGCGTTCAGAAAATTTGATTAAATTTGTGATATTTTTATTATACTTAGGGCGCTTAAGAAAAATCACTGTTCCAGTGTTTCCATGGTCAATACCACTAATGCCAGTAGTAATATCGCAACTAATACTACAAATGCTACGACTGATCCGCGAGCAATGCCCATACCACTAAAGTCGCTACTAATGCCAAATTGTGCTATACTGCTAATGGCACTAATGCGATTGCTTTGTACACAACAATGCCATCGCGGTTTACACCTCGCTTTAGTATATCACTGATTGGCAAATTAGAGGAAACCCAGAATGTTTTTCTCAGCAAAAAGTCGCAGTATTTTATTTTACTGTATGAAAGCCCAATGTTTACTAAGTAAAACGTATATAGACAATATGCTGAATTCTTCGAAATGCGCAACTAAATCTCTAAGGGTGCAGCCACACTATCCTAAAAACGGCGTATCGGCGTAACGGCGTAACGACCTTGAATCGATTTCCAGTAATTCTATTGGCTGAAATTTTTGACAGATGAATTTGACAGATAAAATTTCTGACAGATGAATGTTTCAGCCAATAGAATTACTGGAAATTTATTCAAGGTCATTACGCCGTTACGCCGATACGCCGTTTTTAGGATAGTGTGGCTGCACCCTTAGAGATTTAGTTGCGCATTTCGAAGAATTCAGCATATTGTCTATATACGTTTTACTCAGTAAACATTGGGCTTTCATACAGTAAAATAAAATACTGCGACTTTTTGCGACTTTGCTGATAAAATGAGAAAAACATTCTGGGTTTCCTCTAATTTGCCAATCAGTGATATACTAAAGCGAGGTGTAAACCGCGATGGCATTGTTGTGTACAAAGCAATCGCATTAGTGCCATTAGCAGTATAGCACAATTTGGCATTAGTAGCGACTTTAGTGGTATGGGCATTTCTCGCGGATCAGTCGTAGCATTTGTAGTATTAGTTGCGATATTACTACTGGCATTAGTGGTATTGACCGTGGAAACACTGGAACAGTGATTTTTCTTTCTTTTTTTTTAGAATCGACGAATTATCCTTTATTTTGTTCATATTATTTCCTCTTTAAATGAAAATAGCAATAATTTATATAAGGTCTACATAAAAAAATTTCGATCAACTATCTGTGTCAAATACCCCACTGTGGGACGGTCCGCTCCATTTGAAAGCGCTGTTATATTAAAAAAAAAAGATTATAATACAAAACAGTAATTGCAGGGTCAGGGGAAAAAGTAGGTAAGTCAATTTTTTTGCTATATTTAAATATTCGATGTTCAAAGTCAAGATATACAGGGTGCTACAAATTCGAGGTACGACCATTGGTATCTCGGAAACCGTAAGAGATACGAAGATGGTTAAATTAGGGCAAAGTTGCGCTTTGGGATGTTCACCAAGATGCCATCAAAAAAGTTTTAAAAATTTCAAGGATTGCTGAGTTTTTTGGAAAAAACGAATTTTTTTGAAAATCAATTTTATTTTTTCTTGGCGTTAGTTTTTAGAAAATCAAAAAACTAATTGCACATTCTCATGGCTACCTTATTAGGGCTATCTGATAGTATTTTTAGATTTTCAAATTAGCTGATAATTTGTGAGATACAGAGGCCAACTTAATTTTTTTAAATACGGACCTGCATTTTTTATTTGAAGTTTTGAAAGAACTCGGTCTCCTGAGTACAATGATATGCCACACTTGATACTTTTTTTGTTTTAGGTACCTTAACAATAACAAAACTATTTAATTATTATTTAAAATAATTTCAAGTCCGACTCTAGTTTTTTAAATTGTTTAATCTGATTATATTCATCTCAACAATATGGATCAGCGCTAATTAACATTGAAGATTCAAATAAATAATACCCAGGTCAGCAATTTAAAAATATTATTTTCATTTTTTTTTATTGTGAATTTGAAATCTCAGTGTACGATCTAATAATATGCATAATATTAATCGTAGTTATTATAAATAAATCAACTTCTAGTTTCTAAAACTAGTAAATGCTCTACATGTTCGAAAGAGTTACCACTGTCCCTAATGCACAAATGTATTTTTCGCGTTCAATCTTATTTACAGCTCTTTGAACATATGTTCTTCTTATACTTCCAAATGCATTCTGTACTCTTTATTGTAAATGTTGAAATGTATTGTCACCTCTATTTCACTTTTAAAAATGACGTCAAGTAATACCCAATAATTTTATATTATTTTTATTATTTGATTGCATTTGATTTTCGGTATTCAATGTTTTACCCCACGTCATAGTTAAGTTTGAAAGTATTACCAATATTGTAACAATGAATAGATTAAATATTTAAAAAAATCTCTTTCGAAAAAGAGTTCTTTCAAAATCTGAAATAAAAAATGCAGGTCCGTATTTAAAAAAATTAAGTTGGCTTCTGTATCTCACAAATTATCCGCTAATTTGAAAATCTAAAAATACTATCAGATAGCCCTAATAAAGTGACTATGAGAATGTGCAATTAGTTTTTTGATTTTCTAAAAAGTAACGACAGGAAAAAATAAAATTAATTTTCAAAAAAATCACTTTTCCAAAAAACTCAGCAATCCTTCAAATTTTTAAAACTTTTTTAATGGCATCTTGGTGAACATCCCAAAGCGCAATTTAACAATGTTCGTATCTATTACGGTTACCAAGTTACCAATGCTCGTACCTCGAATTTGTAGCACCCTGTATATAATAATATTTTAGGATTAATTAAAGTTATCAGAAAGGAAGCCAAAAATACAATAATACGCACTTTTTTGAACTACCCTGTAGAGATAAAATATTTTCCTAAAATACATCCTAATACATACGTTACACCTGCACTTATACAAAATTCTAAATATTTTTTTTTATTATAAGATCTGTAGATTAGCTATCCGCCGCACTATTGCTGGACTCTGTATAAAATACAATTTCTTTAAAAATAATAAACGAGAATGCATCAGATCATTTTATGATAAGCAATTACACAAACTTGTTTCTTAAAAAAATAGAACATGTTTAAAATTACTTTAATCTTCTTTTATATGCATATAAATCTTCATGTTTGTAATATGTATGAATTACATCATACATGTGCTTAAAAAAAAACAACAAATTATCATATTGTCCGTTATATGCATTCTCATTTCTACTATAACAAGATTCGAGTTGTTCCAGACCTTTTTCAGTAAAACAATTTTTAATACCTTTATACTCTTGGTGGAGTCCCCAACAATGAAGATGTATTTCAAATAAAAATTGATGTATGGCTTCAACTGTAGCAAGATACCACCTAGGGCTACCTTTTTGGTGCCTCCAAAATTGTGATATTCTATTTTGTATGACTACACAAGGAATACTCTTTATTCTTTCATCCTTGTAAATACTTTTACATTGGTGCCAAGTACTATCTATAAATACTGCTTTTGTAATAGGAAGCTGTTTAACAATGCACTTAACATTTGTTTCCTCCCTGGTTTTTGGTATGTTTTTCATTAAAGTGCTTCTATTATATCCAGCTGGAAGTTCATCCAAAGGTTGTCTTTGGTACTCAAGTATTTTTTCAAAACTTCCCCCGTTAACTAATTGACTAACGCTAATAGCTTTTTGACCAGGAAATATTAAAACAACATTTTCATTGCTATAATCTGGAATATCAGGATATGTATATACTTTAATATCATCTCTTGCTAACAAAGCAGCATGACTTGCAGTACTCTTTCCATCAATTTCATACTTGTGTTTAATTATATCAATTTTTAATGGAAGCTAAAACAAAAATGGGTATTATAACTACCTTATTATCTTAAGTATATAAAATTAAGCAAAAAACATGACAATTAATGGTAAAACCAGTAACAGATTTCTTTATAACAAATACTACTATTCAACTTACCTTCACATGGGGCAATTTTCCATTTAAAGGGCTTATTGGAACATAGCAAGTGTAACAAAAGAATTTTCTAGATTTACCACAATTGGGACATGGTTGTCTACCTTCTAATTTATTTAATATAGTATTATCATCAATTTTAAAACCATCAAAGGGGTTTTCATCATAGCTTTGTAGGGTGAAATCTGCGCCTTTTGGATTTGTCATACCTATGTGATACCCTGGAAATCCTGCAATCCTTTACATTTATATGCTGCAACTGGCTGCAACCTGCAACAATAACCATACAACAATAACAATACCGGTAATTATTGGGAAAAGTGGAAATCGTCCGATTTTCACCAAAATTGGTATACACCCTATTTTGAGGTCGTAGAGTACGAATCTGAACTTGTTTCTTGACGGTCTCTTACCGTTTTTCAGAAAAACGGAAAATTATGTCAATATTGAATTTTTCTTAATTTCTCGTATTTTTAAGGTTTTTTTGCACATATTTTGTTAGGTATTCAATAAACAATCAGGTTTTTGCTATTTTCTGTTACTTTTTTTAACCAATTCCATGCTAGAGGAAAATTTGCTAAAATAAATTTGTAAACAATCTGAAAATGTTGGGTTATGCGTTTCTGACATTTAAAGCGACGTTGCCAATGCTAAACCTAAATTTAGCGCGTTTTTTTCGCCCTCTCTGGGATTACGAGATTCATGGAAAGGGTAATATTTTCCCCTACATTCCAAGGCAAAACCCGTTAGATTCTAACGATTTTTCCAACTGATTCTGATTGATTAATGTGCACGAGGTGCAGTTAGAGCTTTTTTCTGCGACTGAAGACAAGTAAGTATTTAGCAATGGAGCCCTGCAATGGATGCACTTTGGACGTCGGAGGTATGTATAATATAGTCAATGATGAGGGTAAACTAAATAATTTTTTATTTTCTCATGGGGTATTTTCTATCGAACCTATAAATTGTCCGAGATGCCATGTACCCTGCAAATTTTACGCACGCGATAAATTTAGATTTCGTTGCACTAATACAGTGTATTTGTCTAAAAAAGCGGGGACTAAATGTACGTTTAAAATTGGGGCAAAGAGGGGAACTTTTTTTGAGAAGGCGCATTTGGACATTCAGACAATTTGTAAGTTCGTGTTTTACTGGTTAGCCCATAATCACGGGCAGGAGTGGATGATGGTCGAGCTGCAATTGGCGTCCGATACTGTTGTCAACTGGACAAATTTCTGCAGGGAAGTTTGCTTAATTTCGTTAATGTAGAGAGAGTCGTTAATGCGTTATTGTAGAGATCGACGAATGTGAGATGGGCAAACGAAAATATAATAGAGGTAGAGTAATCGACGGTCAATGGATTTTCGGAGGAATCGAACGGGAATCAAAAAAGCTCTTTTTGGTACCCGTTGAAGAACTGTCGAAGGAGCATCTGCTGGCGGTTATTCAAGAATGGGTACTACCGGGTACTACAATAATATCGGATTGTTGGAAATCGTAGAACTGCTTGGCAGATGAAGGTTTCTAACATCTGACGGTAAACCACTCCCAAAATTTTGTCGATCCAGACACTGGAGTACACACGCAAAATATTGAGAGAGCCATGGAGGGATCTGCGCAGAAATGTTCCTAAATATGGCCGGGCAAAAGATCATTTTCCCGGTTATTTGGCGGAACATTTATTTCGGAGGAAATTTCGAACACCCAAACATCAGGAGATGTACCATGAATTTTTTAAATATATCTCAAATGTCTATCCCCCCTCTGCCAATATGGAACAAAACGCTTAGGTGGATTACTGTGCCTCTATTTTATTGTGAGAGTGGACGATTGAATGATGATTTCAAAAAAACAAAAAAAAACAAAAAAAATTAAAAAAAAAAACAAAAAAAACTGTACCAAAACCCAAACCAACTTAACCTTCAACCAAACCAAACCAAACCCAATTTATTATTCTATCCACAACTACTCTTATATATCCTAGAAAAAGGCGAGCGAAATGATCCCTCATCCCTTTCCTGGCAGAGATTTGTCCCGCCTCTATTTGACATAATTACTATTAATTAATTAAGATATCTACTTAACAGACACCCCCTATTATAATGTTAAAATTAATGTAAGCTTGAATATTATATATTGATAAACTTCTTAGAAAAATGTTGTTGACGAAGTTGGACAAAACTTGCATTGAATGTTGGATTATTATTGTAGTTTAATTAAATATATACTTATTTTATTAAAAAGTATATTAAATAAAACGTATTTTATTTAAACTCCCGAATCCCCCGAAAAAATACAAGACATGGCAACGTTGCAAATTTTCAGATTTCTAGATCAGGTCTAGATTATATTTGTCTCTCTCGTTGCATAGGAGAGAGAAAGAAGGATATATGATGGGTCAAGTGACAATCATGTCAGTTTTGATGGAAATTTTCTTTGTTTATTTTATTAAGAAAAGTGTTTTTCAGTAAAGTTTTGGGTATTTTTCTATCCACAATCAATAACAGCTCTTAGATAAACTATAATATAATGAAAATATAGTGATATTACTACTTTATACAGCGGAAATAAAGAAAAATTAATGTTGACATAATTTTCCGTTTTTCTGAAAAACGGTAAGAGACCGCCAAGAAACAAGTTAAGATTCGTACTCTACGACCTCAAAATAGGGTGTATACCAATTTTGGTGAAAATCGGACGATTTCCACTTTTCCCAATAATTACCACAATATCTCCAAACAGCTCCAATCTCCAATATAAACATATAAACAGAAAAGATGATGAAAAGAGGAATGGAATGACCACGGGAATCACAGGAATAGAACTTTTCAGACTTTTTTTCAGCATGTCAAATTTTTTTGTTACAGAATCCATAGACAAAATAATACCTGCCCTGCTGATCTGCCATAGACCGTGATCACAGTCGTGATGTACATCCTTTGTGAATCATTGGTACATTGTACATCCCTGCCCATCCCTGATATTTAGTATGTTTAAATTTTAATATTGGTAGCAATGGTAAAACTGACATATTGACGGAAGTGCTTCTTTTTGGAGTTTGACAGTTTGAGGCTATACTTTTTAATCCTTGTTTATTGTATTGTAGTTTTTTCAATGTAATTAAATAAAATACAAGAATTCAATATGAGTTTTACAAGTGACGAGGTAAATTTTCTTGTATACCGTTATCTTCAAGAATCAGGTATGCTTCCCTATGTTAATAATGAATGAATGTCCTAAAATTAAAAAAAAATACCTAATAGGTTTTCAGCATTCCGCTTACACTTTCGGCATAGAATCTCATATATCACAGACTAACATTAATGGAGCTCTAGTGCCTCCGGCAGCACTACTTAGCATTTTACAGAAAGGTCTACAATATACGGAAGCGGAAATTAGCATTGGGGAAGATGGAACTGAACAAAAATTAGTGGAAGATTTAAGTCTTATAGATGCTGTTATGCCTGATGTAGTGGCAGCCAAACAAAATCAACAAAACCAACAGAAACAAGTTATTAAAAATGAGGGAACTGAAGCAAACGGGGAAGAAGGTACTCATTTTACAATTATGAAATTTATTGGTATTAGAACTTGCAAATTAGTATAAAACTCAGAGTAGTAGTTTTGTTATTTCTCTATTATAATAGTACAATGAAGATAGTTATTTAGCAAATTATAGGAAAACTAATATTGTTTATAACTGTTATTGTTCTAAAATGCTCGAGAATTTATAAGTCGCCAGTTGATATAGTTATTTGTTTGTTTGCTGTTTTGGGAAATCCAGCCTGGCTAGCTCATCTGATGATGGGATATAGGCCCCAAAACCAGTAATAAGAGGATGGTTGGTTTCCCCATAACACCAAACAAACATAACTTTTTGGTATTTTCAGCTTTTCAGTATTTTTGAAAGCTGAAGATTTTACAAAATAGCAGTTATATGACCAGAAATATTTTTGGATGCCTTGGGATATTCACCAAGATGCCATCAAAATGTTTTTACAAATTTCAAGGATTGCTGAGTTTTTAGAAAAAAAGGATTTTTTTGAAAATCAATTTTATTTTTTCCTGTTGTTCCTTTTAAGATTATCAAAAAACTAATTACACATTCTCATAGCCACTTTATTAGCGCTATCTGATAGTATTTTTAGATTTTCAAATTAGCTGATAGTTTCTAAGATACAGAGGCCAATTTAATTTTTTTAAATACGGACGTGCATTTTTTATTTCAGATTTTGAAAGAACTCAGTCTCCTGAGTATAATGAGATGCCACACTTGATATTTTTTTTTGTTTTGGGTACCTTAACAACAACAAAACTATTTAAATTATTTAAAATAATTTCAAGTTCGACTGTTTTTTTTTTAATTATTTAATCAGATTATATTAATCGGAACAATATTGATCAGCACTAATTAACATTGAATAAGGAAAATCGAAACACCTGAAAGATTCAAATAAATATAATCCAAATCAGCAATTTAAAGATATTATTTTTTTTTTTCTTTTTATATTGTGAATTTTAAATTTCAGTGTATGATCAAAAAATAATATGCATAATATTAATCGTAGTTATTATACATAAATCAACTTCTACAAACTAGTTTCTAATGCTCTTCATGTTTAAGAGTTACCACCAAGCAAAGGGTTACTACATTCCCTATTGCACAAATTTATTATCCTTGAATTTTTTTGATAGCATCTTGGTGAACATACCAAAACGCAACTTTGCCCCAATTTAACCATATTTGTATCTATTACGGTTACCCAGATACCAATGCTCGTACCTCGAATTTGTAGCACCCTGTATAACTTTAGCTGCTGATTTGTCTTTTTAATTTGCAAATTGCAGTATTATTCATCAGACAAGTTAAGCAGGCTGGATTTCCCAAAACGGTTCCCAAACAAATAACTATATGAACTGGCGACTTAATTTGATGTTGGTGTGTTATTGATAAAGATCTAATAGCGCCAGTACACAGAAGAAAACAAGCATTTTCAGGCGGTTCCGTAAATATAAATAAAAAGTGAAAGGTTCTTGCCCAGTATCAGTATATAATATTTAAAATAAAAATATTTCTTGCCATATAATTGTTATTTTGTAAAACCTTCATAGGCCAGTAAGCGAGGATAAAAATAGGGTATTACCTCCGAATTAGGGAATGCAATCCCGCAAATGCTGAATCCCTCAAATGCGGGATCCCTCTGAGTTTTTGCGGGATTTACCGTGCCAGATCTGCGGGATCGACACATTACTACCCTTGTTTATATATTCTTAAAGTTGGTCAACCACAAACCAAACCAAAAAGCCCCAAACTTTCTCTATGATTATTTTTAAATTTTACGTCTGTATGTTATGTTTATTTAGGTTTATGTTCTTTAAAATCAAAGAAGCGATTGCTATACATTACCCTTGTTTATATATTCTTAAAGTTGGTCAACCTCTCGACAAAATGTGCTGCCTCTGGTGAACAAATCGTAAAGCTTTAAAAGAATGAAGCATGTGATTAGGGGCGGAGTCAAAAATATCGATTATTTGCGGTATTTCCCTCAGAGTAATGTAATAATATAGCTCGGATTTTTGCGAACTATAATAGGGCTCAGCTGATTAAGAAATTTAAACAAAACTATTATTTCATTGTTGATTTTCGATTATTTTTGCTGTTATTTTAAGGATTCTAAACCGTATTTAACAAAGAAATAACAATTTTCAATATGTTGGTACATTAATGCTAATTACTGGACCCAGGGCTATAAAATTTTATTTCATTCTTCGATCATTTTATTCTAAATTGAGGTTTTGCGAATTTAAGATAAATTTTTTTTGAAAACAAAACGTTTATACATTCTTGATTAATTTTTTTCTTAATTAAAAATAAAACTTGGCACTTGTTTCAATAATATTATTTGACATTTAAATAAATATTATGTACTTAATACACCATTTAAATCTTTATTACACGAAATAAATCTTTCTTAGCCTAAAACATGGTCAGAGTCAAGTTTGCTTTAACTTTGTACCATATGAAAAAAAAACGGCGTCCAGTTGGCAGGGAAATGACGATCGACGACATTTCCCACATAAATTTACATATAAAATGACAGCGATCTTCATTTCATAGCCATCGCTGACGCCGTTTATTTTCGATCAAGAATTATAAAAACTGAAAATATCATTATGTTTTAACTCACAAAGCTCGTTCAGCCATAAAACTTTCTAATATATTGTTTTATTAGGAGTAAAAATGACACTTTTCGTGGCGAGACTGTAGGTTTGACATACAGCCGAAGCACAAAAGTCATTTTTACTCCGAATAGAACATGCAATTTTTTTCAAACGCCACAAATAATGTTTTAAACAATTTCAAACGTACGAAAGCGTAGAGCTGCCATCGCAACATTGAAAAATATTTTTAGCAAAATTTACACTTTTTCTGTAAATTTACAGATTTTCTGTAAATTTACACTTTTCCTGTAAATTTACAGATTTTCTGTAAATTTACACTTTTTCTGTTAATTTATGCGTTAGTGGCAACAGTGGTGCGTTATTCTACGAGTAGTTCCCATCGAATTCTGTTCTACGCCAGTTTATTCACAAAAGTCTTTACTAGTAAAGACAGAATTAGGGAACCACTGCGGCAATTAATTGAAGGATTGAAGACATGCGGACTATATGAAAAGATTGAAGCAATATCCCAGTATATTCAAAGATATATTTTGTTCTGAAACCACACTCTCTTCAAAAATACTTGAAGAATTATTCCTCATCGTCTATACTGAACCTGGGTCTAACATAGTACAGAAAATCGGGTGATCTCTTATTTTAGGGATTATGTATTAAATTTCGAATGTGTGTGATATAATAGTATGGCATTTTTTGTTTAATATGTTTTCTAATATGCTTTTAATCGACCCGGAAAGTATTTTTCACCCTTTCCGATGCATTACTGTTTGCAAGAGGATCTGATGGCCTCCACCTCTGGGATGACGTAAACTGTCGTCTGCAAATGATGTAAACTTAGGGCATAACCATCCTCTAGCAGACATGTCAAAATTTCTTTGTGACTTAATCCGATATGAAAGTAGGTTTTAATGTATTCGTCCATAATCTCTGATGAATATCTGTACTACTTAGGCACAATAGCAACTTAATCAGCGGAGAACAATGCTCACTTGTAACTAGTGAGTAACGAGCAGGTCGATGCCGAGACGTCATTCTGCTGGGTAGTAAATTTCGCATACAATTTACAGAAAAAGTGTAAATTTACAGAAAAAGTGTAAATTTACAGAAAATCTGTAAATTTACAGAAAAAGTGTAAATTTACAGAAAAAGTGTAAATTTACAGAAAATCTGTAAATTTACAGAAAATGTGTAAATTTACAGAAAAAGTGTAAATTTTGCTAAAATTATATTTCATTGTTGCGATGGCAGCTCTACGCTTTCGTACAAACGTTCCAAATAATACAAAAATATTTAAAACTCATACCTTGTAAGTAATTATCTTGATACAAAAAAAACAAGGTATGATATACGCTCCATTAGTGGTGACGTCGTGTTGCGGAAGGTCAGTGTTGCAAAATATAAACAAAGCGTGAATTAACCCACTATTAATCCGCTTTTTTTCTCGTTTATTATTATATTACTGTTTTCTTAAGGATAATTGTATTTTTCCAAGTAAGTACATTTAATTTTGAACCAGTGCACTTTATAGTTAATAAATTTTATAATACTATGGAAATTCGTGTTCTTTATTGTTTTAACATAACCTCATATTACTTATCCCTATATGTATCCTTTTATGTAATTATACCTATAGTAAACGCGCTTATATACTTACTCAGAAAGATACAAATATCCTTTGAACAGAGTAATATAATAAAAAATTAAGAAAAATTAGATTATCCCATTATATTCTTGCTTTGTTTGGATTTTGCGACATTTGACCTTCCGCTACATGACGTCACACTAATAGAGCGTATTGCGCAGGTTGGTCACCACATCACAGGTGATAAACGGCAATATTGGTCGGCAAGCTCCACGCGCCAATTTCAAATTTTCAAACAGATGACACATAATACATGTGTATAATGTGTCATAACTTTTCAAATGTCCAGCTCGATGATTTTACAAAACTTTAGGGGTTATTTAATTCTTCCCTATTTTAGATCTTTTTTTATTAGTGGCAATTGAACAATACGGATATTTTGTTGTATGGCATATGACGTCACAGGCGATATGCGCAAACTGAACGAAATTGGAGACGCTATCGACCATACCTTGTTTTCAAGTTTTCTTTGTACCATGAGTAATTATATATCGAGAAACTATGGTTACGGCTCGTTGAATTTGAGACTTATGTCATTTTAATAATATATTTTCATACTTTTATGCTTAGGCGTAAAGTGCTTTACTTTTATGCGTAGGCGTTTAAATGACTTTTTTATATTGTCAATCACGTCGCAAAAATTAATACTTTTGTGACGTTTGAAACAAAAATAATATTTTGAAACTAACTGGTATATTTTTCTGCCACAACAAAGTTATTATACAGTGA